TTGTGTGATTGTTTCACACGAATGTAAGCCCTAATAAAATAAAAATTGGTAGGATAAAACACTTGAATATTTCTCCTCGAAACTGAAGTCAAACCATAGGGTAAACTGGGAAGTCACCGAGGATCTCCTCTGGATTTGTGGCATCCCCTAGTTCTTCCTCCTTTAGATTCTACAATAAATGTTCCAAGTTTGAATCATTCCTCTTTTGCACATCTCTTTGTCCGATTTCGTTGAAAAGTCCTATTTTTTTGACCTCCTCGAAGAGAATCTTTCCTGATTTTTATCGAGAGTATTCTTAAGTGACTTCGGTCATTTAATATGTAATTAACTATAGGGGCCTTCCCTTATAGAAAGATTTTCCGAACCCAGCTTAAAATAAACCCTATTTAATTTTTCATATTAAATAGGAGAATTTGTCAGCAAATAAACGGTTTCGCAAACCAACGGACGTCATGTATTTCTTAGTTTATTTGATCGAGCCTCATCCTCAAGTCTTGTGTTTATCCCTCGGGATAGATACAAGTTTGAGGTAAAACGCTCTTTCATTTAAACTATAAAAAATACGGGGTTAGTTTGATTTTCATATTTGATTTTAAACTTAAATCTATATGAAATTAAAGCGTCCTTCCGAAGCGGGCGATGTGATCCGATTCCGGTGACCGACAGCTTCCTACGGGTTACTCCACACACACACCCCAACTTTTTATCGCCGACAACAGTTTGACAAAATCAACTCGTTTTTTATTAGTTAAGCAGGCAGGCTCGGGAAAAAATCATCAGATTGTATGTCAAAGGAATTATTAGGTTGAATGATATTTTAAAAGTAATTATTTTTGACAGAGATGTAAGTTCACATATAGGTTATGTTAGAGATATAACTTCACTCTCCTATTTTCTAGATATATTATGCTGTCTAGAATCTTTTCGATCTTCAATAACTAATCTTCAACAACTACAATGTCAATAGCACCTTTAAAGGCAGGTGGCTTGAATGTTTGAAAATCTTCAAATGTCAATCAACTCTTGTACTATCTGCTGATCTTAGCTCTGTGCTGGTGGAAGATCTTTCAATATCAACTATTTTGTCAACTACTTGTGATGTCAGTTGAATGATGCCTTATAACTCAGTGACTTTAATTTCTTCATTTGTCTTTTTCTGATTATTATTCTTTTCATGACATTCTCTACTTGTACTAGCTCTGCAATTGGTCTACAAGACTAGCCCTTACTATTATTTTTTATTCTTCTTTAGGTATATTTATCTTTATTGACACAATTTATTATTTATGTTATGCATGCATGATATCTTAAGTTGTATGGTTACCCATCCCAAAGCGATCAACCTGTAACTCTGTATAAATCAAATATTTGATCTCATTCTTACTTCTAAATCTAACACGTTTCCATCATTCTTTTTCATCCGACAATCATGCTATGATTCCATCTTTCTGTCACACCTCAACTGAATATCTTTTTAGGGTCAACCGCGGGAGATATAGACAAAAAATACAGTCAGACCAAATTTTCTCCATCACTAATCCTAACTTGCATAATCAGGACCCAGTTTATGATGAATTAGTCTAACTAAATTGCCAAAAATGTACATAGTAAATTTCATTCGTATTCATATACTTAGAATTGTGAAAAATTATATCACCAATATATATATATATATATATATATATATATATATATATATATATATATGTATATATATTATAAAATATTATTTGGTTCCTTATTTTATTCCAATAAAATAAAGTACAAAACCGAGAAACAGGTCTCACACACACACCCTAAAATCCAAAAAAAGAAAAAGAAAAAAAGGTCTTCTTTCCAAACAAAGAAAAATACAACTCAACACACCCCCAAATACCCCAACAAACTAAAACACCTACAAATCCAAAAGAACCAATCTATGAAGATCATTAGGTAAGATTTTATAAATGAAAGGTGCTCGCAGAAAACATCATTGCCTTCTCTATATATTTCTTCAGCTCTATGAAAGCCACTCAAAACAGATATTTCTACTTTTAATATTTCCCGTCCATCTGAAACCAGGGTACTTGTTGAAAGAGACATCACTTCTGCCGCTCCTGAGAAAATTTGGTTGGGCACACAACACTATGGATATTGACAAAAGATAGATATTGAGTTTTTTCCTTCGTATTGTTCGAAATGTCGTATGTTCGGCCACTCCAATTATCAATGTCATCATTTGCACCCCCACCTCAGACCAAAAAAGCAGAGCGCTCCTCCAGAGGCAGTGATTCCATCTCCTTCTGATCAGCTCCAAGTTATTGACATTATTGATCATAAAAAAAATACCTCTGAAGACGTTACCATCATCGCAGACAATATGTCAACTATTTAGTTTCCACATTTTGCTGTAGCTCCCCAATCTTTGGAACCTCCTATCGTGGGGGGATAGAGTTTCTTCAGACTCCACTGGCTCTAGAACCTATCACTGATATTACAGGTGGAAATACTTCTATTGCTTCACTATTGCCTCATCAGGTCCAACAAGATGTTAATGTTACTCAGGCTTATGGAAATCATGATGTGCAACAACCTACACCTGTCCGACCACCTTTGGATCAATCCATTGATCAGATGAGTCAATCTTCGGATGAGGAATGACAGGTCTACACATCCAGAAGAAAGAAGAATATTGGAGACCTACGTGAGCTCAGGAATCTGATGGATGATACTTTGATCACTTCAGGTAATGGTACGCATCTTACCAATTTGTTAGCCAACTCCCTTCCGAGAACTAGAGGCAGAGGGAGGATTAAAGTGGGACGTCCCTAACACTTTTGTGCCCGTTGGTGGCTTTTTGGTTTTTTTATCTTTATGTATCTTTGCTTTATTGGGTTTTTGTGTGTGTTGTAATGTATGAGTTGAGCCTTCTTTTAGGCTATCTCATACAACCTATATGTACCTTTTCCTCTTTAATATATTGCCCTTAAGGCTTTTTCTAAACACACACACACACATTCACACAAAGTTGCTAATTCCAACATAATAAATGTACATATCCCAAATGTCTGTAAAAGCTCCTAAAACTATATTATGAAAAAACTATAGACATCACATCAACTATTCACTCCGTTTCTCCTTATCTCTTATTAAAATTCAACAACATAGTGAGAGCTATAATAAACTCAACAAATTAATCAAGCTAAAGAAATATTTTTAGATGGAAAAGAAGCTTGCATGATTATATGTAGGTTATGTACATATCATATTCTATAAAATATATAAAAGAAAAACATGCAATGTAGGGAATCATGACATTTATATAAAACATGTATTTCATAGACATATCACGGTAATCATAAAAATGTCACTGTAATTATATAGATCCCAGCTATTTTCATGTCATGTTATTTGTTCGTCAACCAAACCGAATGTTATATTAACGATTGATAAATAATTGACCCATCCCAATATTGTAGTTATCAATAGTCCCCTTGGTACTAACGATTCCTTATATTTCGTCCCCGTCTGGTCCTAGCTGTTCCCGGAGTTTCGTCTCCATTTGAATACAAGGAGTCAGGATTGCCTTCACTCCCTTTCATCCGTACTTGCAAACATTCATATAGTTTCTGTAACAAATATTTCTTAAATCATAATTCTTGTAACAAACATTCATCATAGACATTTTATATATCATATGCATTAATTGTAGTAAACAAATACTTGCAAACAATGATTTTATAAACCTATCAGATTCATAGTATAGCAAAATCATAAGTATTGTAAGAGACAATTTAAGTGGGCATTCGTACTGTCTATGCAGACATTCATCTACAATATGCCGAAAATCTGAAATACAATTTGTCAAACATAATCATATGAAAACCTACATAGATTTATTTTTCTTAAGTTACCACATGATTATTTCACTTAATCCTTTAAAATTCATAAAATTCATAATTGAGATCTTAATTTAACCCAAATATGATTTTCTTGCTTTAACTTACCTCTAAAATGCTTCTCGACATAAATATGCTTCTTCGATACCTTCCTATTATGTTCCCTCTTTTTTGTTTCCCCTTAAGCCTTCCTTAACTCGTGAAATGGACTTACCAAGTGTGTATCTTTCGGTCAGATAGTCCGATGACTATTCCCGTAAAGCTACCACAATAGGGAACACGGGGAATTCCTTAATTCATGGTAAATATCGGGAAAGAAATGAATGTCTCAATTAGTACGAAAGTTGGATTTCTCCCTAAAACTTCCTACAGAGAGTTTCAGCTCTCAAAAATGCTCTTCGCCCCACTCTATTGACGCCTTACCATAGGAATAGATCTATGCGTGTGAAACAAAAAATAATGAGAGGGAAAATGAGAGGAATACGACATCCACTTAAATCTCCAATTGTTTGATCGATTAGACCGATGCATATCCAGTTAGGTGCGAGACTGTAGGCTGTGAACAGTGAACTAGATTAAGAATAAGTGATTAGGATTAATTAAGATATTAATTATGTTTATAACTTCAAACTCTTATAACTTTGAATGCATTTATAATTCATACATGATGTAATATATCAAATCGATCGATTTGACGGGTAGAATTTTATAACTTTAGGCCTGCAAGAATCTTGGGTGCAATTGTGGCTTCTATTTTTGTTGTGTTTATGTTTTGTCAATTTATTTTATTTAGTTAGCGGCCCTCTTGACGATATTATGCTTTTGAATCTTACTATTCCAGGATGAGAAACTGTTACTTAACCTCATTGCTGCATTAACGAGAGAAGGTGTGAGCTCCTTTCACTTCGATTTTGCTGGAAATGGGTAAGTTTCTTGAAGTCATGTTTTTTTTTTCCTTAAATGTTTCTAAAACTTGTTCATGTTATTTTCTTAAAGATCCAACTATGACACAACCTTTTAAAGATTATGATAATTTAATCATCTTGATAGAGTTTTTTTAATGGTGATCTGCTTGCACTCACACGTGCACGCACACATACAAACAAATGCTCATACATATACATATACATATACATATACATGTATGTAGCTATGTACATGTATGTATGTACCTATATACAAACATGTATGTTTGAATGTACCTATATACATATATTCATGCATGGATATACTTATATACATGCATGTATTTATGGCCACACACATTATATTTATATTTGTATAAAGAGAGATATATAAATGTCTTTTCTCTTATTAGGAAGGCGAGCTATTAACCTTGAACACCCATTGAATACCTTTGAAAAAAAAACAATATGGGAAGATTTATGGCTTTTTACTAGTAATAAATAACTAGCATTAAGGATCATCAAGGCTATAAAATGACAGAAACATTAATGCTATCAAATTTGATTAAACTATTTTATTTTCAACTGGCAATGAGAAAAGACATCAAATTAAAAAGGATGAGAAGGAAATTGGATGGGAAAGAAGTCACCGGATGAGCAAGTGTCAAGCAGATAAATGAGATAAGTTTCTTGGAATTCGCTAAGTTTGACACTTTATCATGACTTCCAGTGGAAGAATTAATACATCCACATAAATTTTTTTTCAACATTTAATTACTTTTGTACTTACCTTAGATCATATTTATAATCACAAAGTAACCTAAGAAAATTTCACCTTCAATTAAACGAAGGTGCTATAGATGCCATGGAAGCCCTACCGTTTTTTTATTTTAATAAGCACATGGAAATTTATTAAGGAGCTTATAGTTATTGTCACAATAAACTTGCAAAGAGTGCTGGCCTGAACTTGTCTTCAGTAAAGAATAAAGTAGCTTTAGGAATTGGAATTGGAACAACTGCCGATCACTTGTTAATGTTGTAATTCTTGAATAGTTTTGGCTATGAAAAATTATTCAAGTGATATTTTTAAATATTTTTGGTAAAGATGTTGGATTTAATGTAGAGATATCAATGAATCATCATCTTGCGTTGTTTTTTCACAACACAAGGTGCCTCTAAAATCTAACAAACATGATGATCATGATTTTATCTTTAATAATAGCTTTTGACACATTATATGGCCTTCTTGAAGTTGTGTAGACTATATGACGCGGGGCATCTAGCGCCTTGATGCGACATTTGTTGTGTCACTTACTTTGGACTGGTTCTGTCCAGGCGGAGGAAAGATCGACCGGTCTTCTTAAGCAGGGCTACCCTCCTATTCGGAGTGGGGTTCACTCCTTAGTTACCCTAGCCCTATAAGTATGCGGTTTTCGTATTTTAGGGTAGTATTTGTGTTGTCTCTGTCGGGATAGCCATCGACATCTCTATTTTTCTAGTTTAGGGCTATATCCAAGAGCGAGTGGTGCTTCAGCTTTATTTTATTTCGAGGTGATGAATATCCCCAACTTTCCGTCCCTCTAAATGCATCCCTTCGCTACTGCCATCTCCTTTCCTCGTTGCAGGGACCCCCAGACAACACTCTAGTTGCTCTCCTGCAATTTTAGCTGTAAGTCACCACTCCTTACACCTGTTTCTCCCACGATCAACCACCCTTCCTCCTCCCTGTCAGCCTAGCAACCAGCCAACCTACTTCACCTCCAATCCTCCACCCGCAAGCCTTCCCCACCTCCTATTGCTACTTCCGTGTCATCCCAACCACAACTCTCAACCTCCACGTTTACTTCCCTACCACTTGTTCCACCGTAGCCTACTGCCCCAATTGCAGACCAGTCACAAGATCATAATCTCCACTTGCCACCTCCCATGACCGCAGGTCAACCGCAGCCTCCCAACTCATCTGACCAACCTCAAACTCTTTGGGATACAACTTTAGTGTGTTTACGTCATGTCTATTGTTGTTTTTTCCTTTCAAGTTTGTCGTTTGTAACTTTCTGTTTGCTTTTAGTAATAGTATTTGATTTTCTTATCATTGTTGGCGTTAATTTCGATATCATTTGGTATTAGAGCTGGCTTATCCCTAGTCCTATTCTTCCCGTGTCCTATTCTAGAGTTATCTAACCCACCCCCCCCCCCCCCCCCCCAAATGCACAGACACAACACACACACCTAACTCATAATTTTTCTTTCCAACTAGACATCTCTCCCATACACCATATCCAGCCTGCCCACACCAAAACTATGATCAAACCACTGAGGAGACAAGTGTCGGACGCCGATCAGGAGTTTATCATGGAAGAGGTACAACGAAAACTCTACTAAGTGTTACAAATGCTTAATGAAATTGAGTAAAGGACCCGTGGAGAGGTTATCATCGAGTGTGATAGCGAGGTCCGAGAAGGAGAGCGAAAAGAACATCTGAATTCATTTTGGAGGGATGATTTCAATGAAGAGGAGAATCAACCGCGACGCTTTGAGATTCAATATCAGAGGAAGCTGAGAGATGATGTGCGTCTTGGAGGATACAAAGATTTAGAAGATATTGGATTTTGAAGGAAAAATAAATCCGGATCATTTTGTTCAGTATCTGTAGACCGTTGAGTAAATACAAAGAGGTACCAGAGACCAGAAGAGTGAATCTTGTTTTCATCATGTTGAAGAAAAGTGTCTCGTTGTTGTAGGAGAATTTTAAGAGGTAGAGACAGAAAGAAGGACAAGACAAAAAGAAGGAAGAGACGGGATCACCACCTGGGAGAAAAGGAAGAAGGCGATGCAACGACATTATCTCATCAGGATAATTTTTTGAAGCTCCGCCACCTACAACAAGGGGAACTATTAGTGGAGGAGTACGTGGCAGAATTTATGCACCTTAAGTTGAAATGTGAGCTGGCGGAAATAGAGGAACACATGACGTCCAGGTACTTGGGAGGTCTGAAGCCCTCCAATAATGTGGTCCAACTACAACCTTATTTGACGATGAGTGACTTTCAGACAATGATATTAAATGTAAAGAGACAATAGAAGCAGACAGACACCCACCGCCCTTCATGGAGCCACCCATAGTTAAAGACATCAATAGGAGTATGCTTAAGAAAGTTGAGAAGACTGGTTAGGAGATTGATAGAGCTGCCCATAATAAAAAAGACCTGAGAAGAGTAGCATATATAGTACAGTACCAGCCATGAAATGCTTCAATCTGCAGATAGAAGCTTCAACTAATGAGGTTAAAGCTTCCCCAACCATGAGAGACTGACGTGGAACATCCAATGCTTAGGCGTGACATTTGCTGCATGCCCTAGACCCTGCCAGTTCGGTCCAGGCAGGGAGGGACCGACCGTTCCTTCTAAGCTGGAGCTTCCCTCTTATTTGGAATGGGTCTACTCCTTAGTTACCCTAGGTCTATAAGCCTGTTGTTTTCGTATTTTAGGGTAATTTTTTGTTGTTTCTGTCGGGACAGCTGTCGGCATCTCCAATTCTTCTGTTTTGGTCTGTATCTAAGGGTGAGAGGTGCTCCAACTGTATCTCATTCTGAGATGGTGAATATTCTCAACTTTATGTACCTCCACATCTATCCCTTCATTTTCGTTGTCTCCTTTCCTTGCTGTAGGGACCCTCAGACAACACTCTGGCTGCCCTCTCGCAATTTCAACCACAAGTCACCTTTTCTTCTTCCTGCTACCCCTTTGATCAACCACCCTTCCTTTTCCCTGCCATCCCAGTCGTGGTCACCCTACCCCACTTCTAATTCTCCACCCGCAAGCCTTCCATAGCACTAGCTGCTGCTTCCCTGTCATCTCAACCGCAAAAGCTCCACGCCTACTTCTCTACCAGCTATTCCACCACAAGCTTCTACCCCTATTGCAGTCCAGTTGCAAGACCACTACCTCCACCTGCCTCTTCCATACCTGCTGGTCAATCGCAGCCTTCCAACTCACCTAACTATTTCATTTTCCTATCGTTGTTTGCGTTAACTTTGATATCACTATATTATTGAATGTGAAATCAGAAGGACTGGAAAAAGGGAAGGGTCTAAACTAATGATTATCGGTTCACAATCTTAATTGAGATTATATAAAATTTAAATTAGATCTCTACTATCATTTTTTAGGATTTCTTACCAACAAGCCTTCATCCTAGTTCGTTGCATAACTTTTCACTAATTTTTTAAGGGTCTATAAAGGAAAGTTATTTGATTTTATATGGATAACCGTTTTATCGGTTCACGTTTGCGATAAGCTTATTTCATAGTTTACGATGAGTTTTTAGTGAGTTTTTTCATGCAAATCATGCTTGTCAATATTTTGCAAATGCAAATCATGATTATAAATATTATGCAAATGCAATAGGATATGATGTATTTAAGGATGATGAAGAATTGATATTTTGACTCAATGGATAGGCTACAGACAACCATAAGGAGAGGAAAAATTAAAAAAAAGTAAAATTTTTAAGTTTTTAACTCCATTAAGACAATCAGTGCAAACATAATTTTTTTAATGAGTGGCATAGTATAATTTGAATAAGTTGTGTATATTATATAATTCTTATGGTTTAAAAGGTTATGGTTTGTTTGGGTGGCTGCAATTGTTTATAAAAATAACAATTTAATTATATAGATTTTTTTTTTCTCTTAGAAAATGTTGGACATTAGTTTTCTTAGCGCTTTCACATTCAAGTAGATTTGACTATTGATACACTACAACAAAATGCGTCATTTAACAAGAATCTCGAGGCAATTAGCACCGATCTCAAAGCATTTTTTGAGCTTAAAATATTCAAACGTAATTTAAGAATCATCCAGAACTCTAATTTCTGCAAACCTACAATATAAACTGACGATCTCGATAAGACGAACCTATTGTCATTGAAATTGGTCAAATTTGAGTCAAATCAGGTTCTGATCAAATTGTTACTCCACTTTTAGAGCTTTTGATGTCTAATTGGAAGTTTAGATGAATT